TTAAATACGTGTCGGCAAATTTTACAGCTGATTTGATCTTATCAACTGCCTTTGGTTTAGAGGGTAATACCTTAAAGAATCCTGATAATGAACTATCACAAATTGTAACGAAACTCTTCGATGTTCCGACGTGGGACTTTGTTAAAACTGTCATGGTTGAAGGATTTCAGAATCCCGGTAAAATAGTGAAGGCACTTTTGAGCAACAGATCAAAGGAGTACATTTTCACTGAAATCCTCAAAAACGCCGTTAAACAAAGGGATGAAAATAATATCGCCAGGAAAGACTTTTTGTCATTACTGCTTGAAGTTCGGGACAGAGAAGGACTGAGTTTTAACGAAATCCTCGCTCAGTGTTTCTTGTTCTTTTTGGCTGGATTTGAAACGTCTTCACAAACCATTAGTTACTGCATTCACAACTTGGCTCACAACCAGGAAATACAAGAGAAGCTTCGTAGTGAAATTTTTGACAATTTGGGAAAAGATTACACAAAGTACTCTTATGAAGACATTTTCAATTTACCGTATCTGGACCAAGTTTTCAATGGTAAGTCACTGAATTTAACAAAAGAAGCCGTTTTTTGATTATTTTTCTTTGCAGAGACATTACGTTTGCACCCTGCTTTGGGTTTCCTTAATCGAATTTGCGTAAAGAACTACACAGTTCCTGGAACCGACGTCGTCATCGAGGAAGGGACACCGGTTTTAATTCCAGTTTTGGGACTGCAGCGAGATCCTGAGTACTTTCCTGATCCTTTAAAGTTTGATCCCGAAAGGTTCGGTAAGGATCAGTCGCAAGTACCTTTTACTTTTATGCCTTTTGGTGAGGGTCCTAGATTTTGTATTGGTGAGTTATTAGAGGAATCGTTGACACAATTATAGCAATGTTTTGTAGGAATGCGGTATGGCAAACTTCAGGTCAAGTTAGGACTTGCTGCTTTGTTATCACAGTTCAAGTTTCTTCCCAGTCCAAACACTCCAAAGACTATCCAGCTGGATAAATATTCCAAAACACTTGTCATGACGCCTTTGAAGGGGATCACAGTAAAGGTCGAAATGTTGCAAAGTACAGTGAGATCTACAGGTTAACAATTTTTAGTCGTTGTTTTGACTTCTATTAATATTCCAACGACAAATTCTGTTTTCTAAAGATCTAATATTTGTTGCATAGTTTGTTTTTTTTTTGTAAACGATTTAAGATAAATAAAGTTATATAACAAGCTCTCTCGCTATTATTCAAAAAAGAGTTTTCTCAAAAAAAATGTATTTGATTAGCGTACAAGATAGGGATATGTGGACAGATATAAGGTAGAGGTTAAAAAATTGACTTTATTTGTATCGTGATTACGATCTACAATTTTTCAACTCTTACAGTGACCCCTTTGGCCGGCACTCCAGCCAGAGTTTTCGAAAATTTATCAAGTTCAATATATTTGGGTGTGCTTGGACTCGGGAAAAACTTGAACTGGGATATTAAGGCAGCAATGCCTAATTTAGTTTGAAGCTTTCCATATCGCATACCTACAACGACACGAAACATAATTCAGAAAATAAATTATTCCAACTATGTATCATTTACCAATACAAAATCTAGGTCCATCTCCAAAGGGCAGAAAACTAAACGGTACTTGCTTTTGATCTTCATTAAACCTTTCCGGATCAAACTTCAAAGGATCAGGAAAATATTCAGGATCGTGCTGAATCCCTAACACTGGAATCAACACAGGCGTCCCTTTATCAATAACAACATTCGTCCCCGGAACTTGGAATGGTTTGACACAAATTCTGTTGAAAAATCCTAGTACAGGGTACAGTCGCAAGGTTTCTACAACAAATATCCTAAAAAATGTTATCGAACAAATTTACGATCTCACCATTGAAAATTTTGTCCAAATACGGAAGTCTGAACATGTCTTCGTATTTGTATGTCCGAACATCTGGTCCTAGCTCATCAAAAATTTCCTTTCTTAGTTTATCTTGTAGATCTTGGTTGTGAGCCAATTCGTGAATGCAGTAACTAATCGTTTGCGAAGAGGTTTCAAAACCAGCCAACAAGAAAAGGAAACATTGTGCTAAAATTTCATCCGAAGTTAAACCTTCACTATCTCTAACTTCCAAAAGCAAAGACAAAAAGTCTTTTCGCTTAATTTTATCTCCGTCTCTGCGTTTAATCGTGTCTTTCACAATATTTTCAAATAAATGTTCATTGGTGTGATACTCCAAAAACCCTTTAACAATGTTTCCTGGATTTTGAAACCCTTCCATAATCACCGTTTTGAAGAAGGTCCAGGTTGGAATATTAAACAAACTGAGCACGGTGTTCCCAAGTTTGCTTTTAGGGTTCTCCAAGATATTACTTTCCAAGCCGAACGCTGTTGAAAATATAATATCCGCAGTGAATCTTGACGAAAGATATTTTATATTGATTTCGCCACCCTTCTGAGCTATTGGTTCAACAGTTTCCATGAACTTTTCAGTCACTTTTAAAAAAATTGCGTACATGGTTTTGAGTTTCCCGGACGTAAAAGTTGGAGATAACTTGTTCCGAAGGTTTTTCCATCTTAAACCTTCTATGCTGAATAGGTTTCCGCTGAGAGGAAATCTTTCTTCATCGACGAACGTGCCCCTGTCCACGAAACACTCAAAGTCGGTAGTTAATATAGACTTAATTATTTCTAGGTCAATGGGAAAGTAAATGGGGCCGTTGAAGAAGTATAATCCTGCGTGTTTGTATCCCTTTTTTCTAAATTCCTCGTAGTATTTGGCTACTGTTACGAAAAGATTTTCTTGGCCCAGTATTGGTTTTAGAATGTTACCTGTTGGAAAATTCGGAGGGCTAGTTGGAACCCCTTTCTTCTTCCAGTAGGTGAAGCAATACAGGTAGTAGAGGTACCATGTTAATAGAACTACTGTGGTGAATATGCACAGAATTTCTGTTACTGGTGAATTCGACACACTTGGCACGACCATGGTAGTTTGATGAGTATTTTCCACTACACATTTGCTTAGAGATAATTACCAATTGAACCATATTTGATGAAGATAACACACAGTAATTTAATTATAGTAACAAATATTTTCGTTATTGCTTAATATTAGGATTTTTTTTTATCTCAATCTTATCGGATGTGTTGTAGTTCAAGATTAACGTTTAACTTTCAACTATAAATGTACTGAAGAATACAACGTAAAAAAAGTTGGAAAGAACACCTTCGTTGCAGTGGTGTTCTTTTTTTACTTTTAAAAATGAGTAGATTCAAAGTTTATCACATGCTATTTTGACTTAGTAATTATTATTACAATTATTATTATTTATATGCATCCAAATAAATAACAGCTGTAATTCTTTTTCTTGCTATAAAAACCACAATTCATAGCATTCAGTGTAAGCAAGCACATTTGTTATCACAACAAAAACTAATAATTTAATATCGAAGATTTTTTTAAATTTTGACTGGAGGTTTCAAAAAGTTGTCATACGAAGACATTTTCAAGTTGCCATATTTGGAATTTGAAAAAGTCGATTCTTTCAGTTTTTCTTTTATTTAATAGAAACCTTACGCTTGTACCGGCTTTGGTTTTCTTTAATCGAATCTGTGACCCTATGACTGATGTTTTCGTTGAAAATATTATTTTGTCCACATTTCATAACTTCTGGCTCGAGATTTATAATAACTTTTAAACTAATTTAAAGATGTAAGTCCACTATGAAAAAAAAACACTTTCAAAATTATGATCGTTTATATTAATATCCTCGTGGATTCAAGAAACGCGAGTTAAGTTTAGTAAATGCTTGCGGCTTGAATTTGGACATTTATTCTTGTCAGAGCCGCTTTAAAGCGCAGTGTTCCCGAGACCAGCTCATTTCGATTTTGATCGTATTGCATTCGTATTTTGTTTGTGTGTGATTTGAGATTTCACTTCACGAGATGACATGTGAATTTTTTATCGTTTAAAATTGTTGACAAAGTGTTGTATAATTTGACTTCATGTAAATCAGCTTAGTGTTACGTGTTTTAAATTTGCGAAATTCAAGTATTTGCACTGATTCGCACATTTATATTTGATTTAATTTGTTGTAATCTAAGAGGTTTTGTATCCTTAGCAAAAAACCGATTTGTTTCTGTCATTTTTAGTAACAACTATTTTTACCACATTTTATTAAATGCGCAATGAACAATTAATCTTGAAAGTGATGTAACGAAGATATTAAAAATAACACATTGTTTTGACAGAACTAATCGTAAATTAATTGACTTTGTTGCAGATATAAGCCAGATTACCTTCACATAATCTCTTTTAAAAAAATTACTACGCAACATTAAAAATATTAATAAATGTAAAGTCTCAGTTTCAACAGCAAAAGAACGAGTAGTTACAATGTTCCACCGTGAAATTTTGTGAAAATCGTGTTAGCAGCAGATTTCCAAAATCCAAGAAGAATGTTTGATTTTTAAATAATCCTTTTCCTAAAAGTTTTATTTTGCAGAGATTGTATGCCGTTGTGGTATTGTGCTGTTATATAAGAAGAAACACTGATCCTGATTCTAGTTTTAGGGCTAAATCTAAATCCTGAATTATATCTTATTCCTGGAACATTGATTAAGATTAAACCGAGATAAAACGGGACCTGGAAGGAAAATTACTATCAGAATTGTGAAACTGTGAAAACAAAATACAAACAAAAGAAGCTTGTTAAGTAAATTTATTTCTTCATGAATTGATATAATAAGTCTAAATATAAATGTTCATTGCATTTCAATAATCTCCACCAATAAAATTATTAAAAAAACGAAAAGTTCGACGACTTTGTGCATAAAAAGTCAAAAACATTCATTTATACTCCTGAAACTTTAAAACTGAATATAAAATACAACCAAAATTCTGCTTATTGTTTTTTATTTTGACTTACAAAAACTCATTTTTATAAATATGAATGCTTGGTACAAGGTCACGTTATTTTTGATAAACTCTCATTTATTATACAGGACAAGTCATAATTTGTTCATTTATGCGTGATACACCCAACAGTCTACGACCATGTCTTCAGTGACAGAACTTCTGTGTATATTTATTTTAATATTTTTGTTAACGTGGTACTTGTACTACCTGTACTGCTTCAACTACTGGAAGAGAAAAAAGGTTCCCAGTGCTACCCCTCTCTTTCCAACTGGTCACATTTTGAAGCCAATATTAGGCAAAGAAAATATTTTTGTGACCACAGCCAATCATTACAAAGAATTCAAAAGTAAAGGCTACAAACACGCAGGTCTGTATTTTTTCAACGGCCCTGTGTATCTACCAATTGATCCAGCGATAGTTAAGTCTATACTAACCACCGACTTCGAACATTTCGTGGACAGGGGAACGTTCGTAGACGAAATAAACTCCCCTCTTACTGGAAATTTATTCTCACTAAAAGGCCTAAAATGGAAAAGTCTCCGAAGCAAATTATCTCCCACGTTTTCGTCAGGGAAACTCAAAACCATGTACGAAATCTTCATGAAAATGACCCAGAACTTCGTGAGTACCGTTGAACAAACAGCTCGAAAAGACGGCGAAGTTAATATAAAATACATATCGTCGAATTTTACTGTGGATCTCATTTTTTCCACCGCTTTTGGTTTAGAGGGTGATACTTTGCAAAAGCCTGATGGAAAATTGTCACAAACCACGAAGACTTTTTTCACTGTTTCCACGTGGGAATTCTTTAAAAATGTGGTTCTAGATGGGTTCCAAAATCCGGGAAATATAGTGCGAGGGGTATATGGAAAAAAATCTTTAGAAAGCTTCTTCATGGAGCTTGTCACTAACACGATTAAACATCGAAGCGAGCAGAAAATTATCAGAAGGGACTTCATGGCACTGCTTCTCGAAGTCAGGGATAAAGAAGGTCTAAGTTTCAACGAAATTCTCGCCCAATGTTTCTTGTTCTTTTTGGCCGGATTTGAAACCTCTTCTCAGACTATAAGTTACTGTATTCACGAATTAGCCCACAATCAAGACATACAAAATAAACTTCGTGAGGAAATCTTCAACAATTTAGGAAAAGATTTCACGAAGTACTCTTACGAAGATATCTTCAAACTTCCGTACTTGGACCAAGTTTTCAATGGTGAAAATTTTGCTTATCAAGTGGAGTGTTTTTTCTAACTATTGATTTTAGAAACGTTACGTTTGTATCCAGTTTTGGGATTCTTTAACCGAATGTGTGTTAAACCATACAAAGTTCCTAGCACGGATGTTGTTATTGAAAAAGGGACGCCTGTTTTGATCCCAGTTTTGGGACTACAACGAGATCCTGAATATTTTCCTGATCCGATGAGGTTTGATCCTGAGAGATTTAGAGAGGGACAGTTGCACGTTCCTTGTACGTTTTTGCCATTTGGCGAAGGACCACGATTCTGCATTGGTACTACATAAACATAATCATAGAAAATAGTCGGTGTTGTTTTTGTTTTAATTTCAGGTATGCGATATGGAAAGCTCCAGACGAAACTAGGGATAGCAGCTTTGGTATCCCGGTTCAGGTTTTCACCAAGCTCTACTACTGCAAGACATGTCGAATTTGATAAATTTTGTAAAGCGTTAGTGATGGTACCTAAAGAAGGCATAAATGTGAAAGTAGAAGAACTATAACCATACAAAACCTATTAGATAAGTTAATTAAATTGTTTATTTTTTACTTTTCACAACAGCTTGCACTTGAACTTATCATTTAAATAATAAATCTTGTCAATTATTATCCTAAAAATAGTATTATGTAAAAAAACCGATTACAATAATATATTTACGTCAGATCTATGTATAAATATTTTATCGTAAATTAAAGTTCGTTTGATAATAATTTGCATTTGCATAAAAATAAACATAAAAGCAGAGACAAAAAAATCGCCTAAAGTTATATGAACTATAATCAGCCAAGTCCATTTTCTTAGATAAATTCTAGAAGAATTTTTTTGTTTATGAAAACGTGGTTAGATTAAAATGGTAATAAAAAATAGTGTGCCCAGCAAAATTATTATTTATTAATATGTAAGAAGTACTTAAGAGAGCAAGTCATACTATAAATTTCAGGTAAGATTTACGATTTTGACGTCATCAAGTTTTTGGAAGGGGTAAAAATATGACTTTTGATTATTGATTAAACTCATCTCTCAGGTTAAGTTAAGGATATTGGAGTAAACATTTTTATTGTTATATTAGATAACATGATAACAGATTTACTTCCGTTATCATTTTAAATAACATCTCTTTGGTTTGTTTACAAAACATGATGTTATGTAAAAACGAACAGATTATAATTAGATTTTTGCGTCAAAGCTGTGTTTAAATAAATTATGATAAATAAAAGTTCGCTTGATAAGTGACATTTGAAACTGTACAGACAACCAGTTTTACATTAAATTGACGTGATTAAAATTATCAATGCTTTCTAGAAAAATGGGGAAAAATTTTAAACACCAAAATTGATAACTTCAGAATATAGACAATATTCTAAGTGAAACGTAATTTTTTTAAATGTTTGCTCTACTTGGCCATGACGCGTACGTCATCAGTGCAACTGAAACGGCAGTCGTAAGCGTCATGGCCAACTAGGCCATAAATTTAAAAATCACCCATATTATTTTTGAGAACAATAAAGACACTTGGGAGTAACACTAATTACCAGGAACCATTATTAAGTTTCATCCTAACTAAGAAATAACAAATCTATATCAACAAACGAAGTGAGTAATACCAATGATTAAAACAATAATACGATTATATTTTCCGAAAATTCCAAAAATATATGTAACAAAACAATATAATTTTTTAATTTAAAAAAAAAAGCTTTAATTGACCTTGAAACACTAACTACATTCATTGTTACTGGTTTTTAAATCTTATAAAGAAATTTATTCGTTTTCAACTACAATTCGTAAATTTAAAAATTAAACATCAGATCAACGTTCTTCCTTTCCTGTTATGCATTTTGGATTTTTTTGCGAAAATCTGGACGCTTAAGGTAAAAAGTTAAGGCAGATTCATAAACCACAAGTACAGGAGTATGTTATTTTACGAAATTTGAATGGCATTTGTTGCACAAAATTTTGAGATGACTTCATCAAATTGTTGGTGGGGATGATTAAACAAATTTTAATTAGTGTTTCATCATCTACAGTCTACACGATGTTCCAAAAATAGTAGTTTTAGAGATTATCTACCTATTAGAGCCGTACTTTAGGGTTCATAGAACGTCGAGAAAACATAAAAGTAGCCGTTCAACAGATGAACTCGTTTAGCTTACGCTGGAAAAGTAAAAATATGGATGTCGACGGATAATACCCTATGATCGAGAGAAAAAAAGTCGTCTGATAACCTTTGAAATTTAATATTAAAAAATTATGTAGGCAACACCAACACGTTCATTGTTAATCAATTTGATATTACAATCAAATAAAGTACGGGATCCTACAAAAACTGCTGAAAATGACTACCATCAGCCAATCTCATTACTATTTTTTTTTTTTTTTTTCTAAATATACACAGGTTGATTTCAACACCATATAAGTATGAGCTTTTGCAATTAAACTCCGCCCCTGGGCTCAGAAGGAACAACATCATTACAACTGAGATGGCGGTGGGTAGGCGGGGCTTCAATTTTGCCTTTTTGATCTTTTCATGGCAAGATATTGAAAACATTTTACTTTTTTTTCTAATTGTGCCTTCTTTTCACAACAGGAAACTTGAAACATGTTTGAAACGGTAATTTTTTTAGGGAAATACCGATTTTGCAATTACGCCCCGCCCCTCAGTCTACCAACGAATGAAAAATCATCACGAGTAAGATCGAGACAGATGGGTGGAACCTATCTTTGATTTTCTTTTACTTAATAAATTTAGTTTTCTTTGAACAACACGATACTCAAACACATGTTTTTAATTTCTTGTAGAGAAATAAGGATTTTGCAATTATGATCCGCCCCCTTGCCTGACGACGAATAAAACAAATCATCACAATTGAGTCAGAGCGGGTGGGCGGGACTTATATTTTGCCTTTTGTTTCTTAACAAACGTAGTCATCTTTTTATAACAAGAAACTTGAAATGGTACATTTTTATGGACAAATATGGATTTTCCATTTAAGCTGCGCCCTTCGATCTGACTACTAAGTAAAAATTCATCACAATACGGATGATGGTAATTTTTTTTTTTTTTTTTGGAAACATCGATTTTACAATTAAACTCCGCCCCTCGGTCTGACAACGAATGAAAAATTCATCACATTTGAGGTTGGGGTGGGTGGGCGGGGCTCCATTTTTGCTTCGTTTTGCTTGACACATACAGTTTTCTTTCAATAACATTATACTTAAAAACATGTTGCTAATTTCTTGCAGAGAAATGAGGATTTTGCAATTAAGATCCGCCCCCTTGGGTCGGGACGAATAACATAAATCATCACAATTGAGACAGGGAGGGTGGGCGGGGCTTACATTTTGCCTTTTTTTTCTTAACATACGTAGTCATCTTTTCATAACAAGAAATTGAAATGGTACATTTTTATGGACAAATATGGATTTTCCAATTAAGCTCCGCCCCTCGATCTGACAACTAAGTAAAAATTCATCCCAATACGGATGATGGTAATTTTTTTTTTTTGGGAAACATCGGTTTTACAATTAAACTCCGCCCCTCGATTTGACAACGAATGAAAAATTCATCACATTTGAGGTTGAGGTGGGTGGGTGGGGCTCCATTTTTGACTTCGTTTTGTTTTGACACATACAGTTTTCTTTCAAGAACATTATACTTAAAAACATGTTGTTAATTTCTTGCAGAGAAATGAGGATTTTGCAATTAAGATCCGCCCCCTTGGCTCGGGACGAATAACATAAATCATCACAATTGAGACAGGGCGGGTGGGCGGGGCTTACATGTTGCCTTTTTTTTCTAATATATGCAGCCTTTTTTCGCAACAAGAAACTTGAAACATGTTTAAAATAGTGAATTTTCGTAGGAAAATGTCGATTTTGAACGACTGAAATCGTGACCGATGGGTGGAGCTTACCTTTGGTTTTCTTTTTACTTAATACATTTAATTTGAACAACAGAACTCTTAAGAACATGTGTCATATGGTAATTACTCGAAATAAATAAACATTTTGCATTTAAGCTCCGCCTCCGGCTTACGACGAATAAGAAAAATTCATCACAATTGAGATAGGGTGGGAGGGCGGGGCAACATTTTGCTTTTTTTTTCTTAACATATGTAGTCATCTATTCATAACAAGAAACTTGAAATGGTACATTTTTATAGACAAATATGGATTTTCCAATTAAGGTCCGCCCCTCAATCTGACAACTAAGTAAAAATTCGTCACAATACGGATGATGGTAATTTTTTTTTTTTTGGGGAAACATCGGTTTTACAATTAAACTCCGCCCCTCGGTCTGACAACGAAAGAAAAATTCATCACATTTGAGGTGGGGGTGGGTGGGCGGGGCTCCATTTTTGGCTACTTTTTGCTTGACACATACAGTTTTCTTTCAATAACATTATACTTAAAAACATGTTTTTAATTTCTTGCAGAGAAATGAGGATTTGCAATTAAGATCCGCCCCCTTGGCTCACGACCAATAAAACAAATCACCACAATTGAGACAGGGTGGGTGGGCGGGGCTTACATTTTGCTTTTTTTTCTAATATATGTAGCCTTCTTTTTACAACAAGAAACTTGAAACATGTTTGAAATGGTAAATTTTCATAGAAAAATGCCGATTTTGAACAACTGAAATCAAGATCGATGGGTGGAGCTTACCTTTGGTTTTCTTTTTACTTAATACATTTAATTTGAACTACAGAACTCTTAAGAACATGTGTCACATGGTAATTCCTCGAAATCAATAGACATTTTGCATTTAAACTCCGCCTCCGACTTACGACGAATAAGAAAAATTCATCACAATTGAGATAGGGCGGGTGGGTGGGATTTGTATTTTGCCTTTTTTTCTTAACCTACGTAGTCATCTTTTCATAACAAGAAACTTGAAATAGTACATTTTTATAGACAAATATGGATTTTCCAATTAAGCTCCGCCCCTAGATCTGACAACTAAGTAAAAATTCATCACAATACGGATGATGGTACATTTTTTTTTTTGGGAAACATCGATTTTACAATTAAACTCCGCCCCTCTGTTTAACAAAAAATGAATAATTCATCACATTTGAGATTGGGGTGGGTGGGCGGGGCTCCATTTTTGACTTCTTTTTGCTTGACACATACAGTTTTCTTTCAATAACATTATACTTAAAAACGTGGTAGTTTTTTGTAGAGAAATAAAGATTTTGCAATTAAGCTTTGCCTCTCGGTTCACGACAAATAAAAACAGTTATCACAATTGAGAAAGGAGCGGGTGGGCGGGGTTTGTATTATGCTTCTTTTTTTAATAAATGTACATAGTTTTCTTTTCACGACAATAAATTGAAAACATGTTTAAAAGGGTAAATTTGTAGAGAAATGTGGGGAATAAAATTTACGATTTCAAATATATTTCAGTTTTTTGTTGTGAAGGGAAGACTATGTATATAAAGAAAAAAAATGCAAAATATTCACCCCGCCCACCCACCCTATCTTATTTGTAAAGATTTTTCTTTGTTCATCGTGAGCCAAGAGGGGGGCGGAGCTTAATTGCAAAATCCGTATTTTTCTACAAGAATTACCATGTTTTTTAGTGATCGTATTGCTCAAAGTTTAAAAAAATATTAACTATGGACATCAAATTATGAGTGATCCCCACAAATCAGTTACATTTTGGTTAACAATTTGACTAAAATACACATAAACTTTTACAACAATTAAACCAGTAGTTGCAGAAAAATCCCTTTAATAAAACCGCTAACAGACGACAGACAGGCAGACAGAAATGGCAGACATATGGTTTCATACTTTAGAAACTGTGAAACGTCGACAAAATAGAATAATAAAAACGTGGATTCCAATGCTAAATTATATGAAAAGGCTTCAAAAAAATCATAAAATGGCTTGTTTTATACCATATTTTCAGATATATCTTTATTTAAATTGAATGATTTTTGGACAATTTATTCTTGAATTCACCTGTATCCTTTTTACTGAGGAAACAACAAAATTAATATTTACACAAATTTTATATAAATATGACGGAAACAGGACACCTATTTTTCCTGTTTTAGAGATGATGAAAAGTCGAAAAAACATTAAAGTAGCCATTCTCTGGATGGAGCCTGTTACAATATTTCCTTACGCCCGGGAAGTAAAAAGAATAAAATTACAAACAGAATACTAAACAATAGTACCATAAATACTAAACGCAAAATTAATTAAAACAAAATATTGCAATAAAATTTTAAAAAATACAGGGTGAGGCACTAAGCGTGCGTTCCTTAATATCTCATTTATTAGAAAGAAAAAAAAAACAAACGGTCAAGGAGCAAAGTTGCTCTAAAATTATTTTTTACATATTTTGACTGACCTTTTCTTAGACTTTAGAACCACAGTTTGTTCATTTTTAAAATTCCGAAGCGACGTTGCCATGTTATTCCAATTTTCTTGATTATTTTAGTAATAGGAGGGTTCAAAAAAAATTTGCAGTAGCCTTATTTTTAAAATCTCTGTTACAATACTGTTACAGAGTGTTTATAAAAAAATAATTATTACAATTTTTAAATATCCATATTTAATTTTTTTTGTTTTTAAGGGAGACGTCGCCATATTGGAAGAATGAGAACAAAAAATAGTGTCAGACACAATAATAAAACACAGGCTATTGTATTTAAGAATACTGAAATATCGATATTTGAAAATTGTAAAGTTTCAGATTTTTTTATAAACACTGTACATTAAAATTGTTTTAATTGGTACCACTACAAAGCGCGTAGTTTTATTTATTTCTCCACAAAATACGGTAACACTGATTTTAAAAATATCCCATTTGAAATTTTTTTGTAAATTTGAATTCCATACAAATTTCAAGAAAATGGGATAACGTGGCAACGTCGCAACGAAATTTCAAAAATATTTTTTTATGTTTATGAATTTTATTTTTTATCATCTGAAAGGGAAATAAATATCTGACGTTATATATCATTGAAATCGTAATTTAACTGTCGATAATAATAATATATAATAATAATAACTGATAATTCATATTTTACCGTCTACACGATATTCTTAAAATTTCACAATTAGTTTTGTCGGCTCGCAGTTTATCTCCAACACACACACGACAGACAAAAACGGGCGACCTACTTTTTCATATCCTAAAAGCTATGAAACGTAAAAACATAATCTTAAGGAAGAATAAACTATACACTGTAAGAAAAACAAAAAAGATAGCCAAGGTTACTTTTCCTGTTTGTTTCTTTTATCTTTTGTTTCCAAAATATACCTCTAGATAAAAACCATTTTAGCACTGTTATTAAAATAAACACATGTCTTAAAACATGCAACCGTTTCAGTGTACTGTATAATTACTGATAAATTACTGTTCATTAACAAACTACAACAAAAGATTAGATCACTCTAAATCCACTACACTTATTTTGTATAAAAATGTTCCTTCCAAAGTGACAGTTGATATTCGATCTTCAAACAAACATGATACTATTAAATTCAGTTTTTGTGGAAACAGTGATTACGTTTTCGGTGTTTCTAGTTCTAGTGTGGTACGCCTATTATCGTTATTGCTTCAACTACTGGCGAAAAAGAGGCGTCCCAAGCCACCCTCCCGATTTCCCCACTGGTAACATAACAGAGGCCGTACTAGGAAAAGAAAACCTCTTCAACTCCGTTGAAAATTTTTACCACCATTTCAAGAAAAAAGGATACAGACATGCCGGTTTGTACTTTTTCAACGGCCCGGTTTACCTCCCCATTGACACCGACATCGTAAAAGCAATTTTAACAACAGACTTCGAGTACTTTGTTGACAGAGGGTCGTTCATAGACGAGACGGAGTTTCCTTTAAGTGGACACTTGTTTTCCATCACAGGTATGAAGTGGAAAAATCTACGAAACAAGTTACTTCCAACATTTTCCACCGCTAAGCTTAAATCCATGTACGAAATTTTCCAAAAGAACACCGAAAGCTTCATGGAATGTGTTGAACAAGTCGCTAACAAAGGTACAGACTTGAATATCAAATACGCAGCTACTAACTTCACAGCGGATATTATTTCTTCGACGGCTCTTGGAATCGAAGCTGGTACTTTGAAAAACCCCGACAATGAGATTTCGAAGATCACTTTTCGCATGTTCAACCCCCCGTTGTGGTTGTATTTGAAACTGGTACTGCTGGATGGGTTTCAAAATCCTGGTAACATAATCAAAGTTACACACTGTGATAGAAAAGTTGAAGATTTTTTCAAACACTTAGTTTCAAAGATAATGAACCATAGAGAAAATAGTCAACTAATTAGGAAAGATTTTATGTCGTTGCTACTGGAAATTAAGAAAAAAGAAGGATTGTCGTTTGAGGAAATCCTGTCTCAGACTTTTCTTTTCTTTCTTGCTGGGTTTGAAACGTCTTCACAAACCATAGCGTTCGCGATACACGCCCTTGCCCATCAACCCGACCTACAGGATAAACTTCGAGACGAAATTTTCAAAAACATGGGGAAAGATTTTAGGAAATATAGTTACGAAGAGGTTCTAAAGTTACCATATTTAGACAAAGTTTTCAATGAAACTCTAAGACTGTATCCAGTGCTGGGTTTCCTGAACCGAATTTGTGTCAAACCCTATAAGGTTCCTGGGACTGATGTCACTATCGAGAAGGATACTCCGGTTTTAATTTCAACTCTAGGGCTTCAACGAGATCCCGATTATTATCCCGATCCGTTGAAATTCGATCCTGAAAGGTTCGACGAGAGTGGGTCAACGGTTCCTTTCAGCTTTTTACCATTCGGAGAAGGACCCAGGATTTGCATAGGTAACAAGATCACACTTTCGAATCCAAACAGACTTTTCTTTTTCCAGGGAAACGATACGGAATTCTTCAAGCCAAATTAGGAATTGTTGCTCTGATTTCCCAGTTCAAATTTTCACCAAGTCCTCAAACCCCACCGTTCGTGGAATTTGACAAACTTTCAACTTCTCTCGCCATGACGCCCTCCAAAGGAGTGACCGTGAAAGTCGAAAAGCTCAAATTTTAAATAAAGTGAATGTTTTTTATTGGAACTTAACACAATTTCAAAATTTTATACTTATATTATATTTTTTTGATTTTTAAATAAATGCCACCCTTTACGGTAAACACAACTGAAGTAGTACTAGGGTCAATGACAAGGTGTCGAGATGACTCTTTAACAGGAACAAACTGGAAGTCGTTCAAAACAGCAGCAAGGGCAAGTTTGGTTTGAATCAAACCTAACCTAAAACCTAAAAAAAGGTTTACCATACCAACTTTCAAAAAAAAATTGAGGTACCTATACAGTTCCTGGGACCTTCACCAAATGGTAAGTAAATAAACGGGGTCACATCTTTTTCATTGTTGAAACGTTCTGGATCAAACTTCAGTGGATTTGGAAAATAGTCGGGGTCTCGATGAAGACCCAACATTGGAATGATGACAGGTGTGCCTGGATCAATAGTGACATTAGTCCCAGGTATTCGGTACGTCTTCACACATTGTCTGTTAAGCATTCCAACAACTGGATACTTTCTCATGGTTTCTGAAAAAGAACGATTATTGCTAGTTGGTTGACAAAAAATTCGGACAAACCTTTAAGACACTTATCAACATAAGACAGACTTAAAATTCCATCATAAGTGTACTTGGAAGACTCAGTTCCTAGTTTTTCTCTAATTTCTCTTCTTGCTTTATCTTGGATTTCTTCATTGTGGGCAAATTCGTGCAAGCAGAAACTTAGAACACTTGACGACGTTTCGTAACCAGCTGTAAAAAATAAAACAGCTTCGGAAACAATTTCCTGTAAAGTCATTCCAGTCGATCTTAGTTGCATCAAAATATTCATAAAATCATTTCTCAAGACATTATTTTTGTCTCTATATTCTATCGTATCTCTAACTAAGTCGAAAAAGTACTTCTCTAGACTTCTATTATCCATGAAAAGTTTGTTAATGTTTCCTGGATTTTGAAGACCTTCTTCCACCACCAAGCGAAATAGTTTCCAAGGAGACAGGTAAAAAAGTTTTGAAATGGTTTGTGAAAACTCACTCTCTGGATTTTTGAGACTGTTGACGTCAATACCGAACGATGTGGTACCAACAACGTCTGCTATGTACCTCAAGAAAATGTCCTTCATGTCTACTTCTAGTTCCTTCTCAGCTAGTGGTTTCAACGTCTTTAGCAAGTTTTGGGACATTTCCAGCACAATATTGTACATACTTTTGATTTTCCCTGATGTGAAATTAGGTGTCAGTTTTGCTCTAATAGCCTTCCAGTCATCTCCCGGCATTGTGAACATATTAGACGATAAAGGCACTTTTTTCACGTTGATGTACATCCCTCTATCCACAAAATGATCAAACTTAGACACTAAAACCTCCTTTACGAAAAAAGGATCCACCGGGAAGTAAATAGGTCCATTGAAAAAGTATATCCCTCCGAATTTGTGACCACCGTTTTTGAACTTGTGGTACAAGGTTTGCAAACGGACATAAACACTTTCTTTGCCCAGGGCTGACACTCCTAAGTCTCCTACAGGGAAAGTAGGGTTAAGTTGAGGGACTCCTTTTCTTTTCCAGTAGGTGAAGCAGTGGCTGTAGTAGATGTAAAAACCCACAAGGGTTGTAAATATAAACACAAGGAAAAGTTCGATTACTGGTAAGAACATGGTTCACGTTATCAGAACTGTTATTATGAGGTACGAGTTAAGTGTTATTAAAGAATAGGTACTTATCTTTGACATTGACATAAGGATGAACTTGAAATATGTTAATAGAAATTCGTTTGCGTGTGTGCCAAAATCTAGTTCAAATCGTTGTGAGATAACTGAAGTAGTTCCTGAATGTTGCTGTTCACTGTTGTTTTCAGATCAATTATTGAAATCAGTTTGCTTTGCATTTGTCTTGACAAACGTATACAAATTTGAATAATGTTTTATCTTTTGATAAGTGAAATAAATTACTTCATTTTTTTTTTGAGTCCAAGAAAATCTAACGAAAATTTTGCAAAAAAAAATACGACGAAGTAAGAGTTTTTCAACTCTTCAAATTTTCGATTTTTCAAATTCCCGATTTTCAAGTTTTTAAATTTTCAGTTTTTCAACTTCGATTTTTCGACTTTTCATTTTTTGGGTTTCTCAATTTTTTGTTGTTTTAGTTTTGGGATTATTCAATTTTTCGATCACCCAGTTTTTCGAATTTTCGATATTTCAGTTATGGGATTTTTCAGTTTATATTCTTCATTTTTCAGTTTTTCAATTTTTCGATTTTTCAATATTTCAATTTCTCGATTTTCAATTTTTCGGTTACTCAATTTTTCAATATGTTGGGATTTCTCAATTATTCGATTTCTCAATTTCTTCATTTTTCGGCTTCTCAATTTTCCAATGTTTCACCGTTTATCAATTTTTAATTTTTCGATATTTTAATTTTTCAATTTTTGACGTTTCTGAGTTTCCAATTTTTCGATTTCTCAATTTCTCTATTAACCGATTTTTTTGATTTTCTCATTTCTCGAATTCTCGACTTATATAGTTTTTCAATTTATCGATTTTCAAGTTTTTGATTTCTCAATTGTTTAACTTCGAGTTTTCGGCTTTTCATTGTTTGATTTCTCCATTTTTCGATGTTTTAGTTTTGGAATTTTTCAATTTGTCTTTTTCTTGGTTTTTAGAATTTTCGATTTTTCAGTTTTGACATTTCTCAGTTTCTTTATTCTTCAATTTTTCGATCTATTTTTCAATTTCATGACTTTAATTTTTTTATTTTCAATTTTTTGGTAACTCAATTTTTTAATATTTCAATGTTGGGGTTTCTAAATTTTCCGATTCTTGTAATTTTCAAATTCTGGATTTCTTCATTTTTCGATTCCTCAATTTTTCGAATTTTCGGTATTACAGTTTTGGAATTTTCAAATTTGTAGATTTCTTGGTTTTACGAATTTTCGATATTTCATTTTTGAGATTTCTCAGTTTTGTTAATCTTCAATTTTTTGATCGATTTTTCAATTTCTCGACTTTTCAATTTTTCAATTTTTCGATTTTCAATTTTTTGGCTACTCAATTTTTCAATGTTTCAATGTTGGGGTTTCTAAATTTTCAGATTCTTGTAATTTTCGAATTCTGGATTTCTTCATTTTTCGATTTCTCAATTTTCCGATGTTTCAGTTACACGATTTTTCAATTTTTAATTTTTCTATTTTCCAGGTTTTCAATTTTTGACGTATCTAAGTTTACAATTTTTCGATTTATCAATTTATCAATATTTCTATAAACCGATTTTTTGATTTTCCCATTTCTCGACTTTTCGATTTCTTAGTTTTTTAAATTTTCAAATTTTCGATTTTTCAATTTCTCAATTTTTTACTTTTTCATTTCTCAATTTTTCAATCTCGATTTTTCGACTTTTCATTTTTTTGATTACTCAATTTTTTGATGTTTTGGTTGTGGGAGTTTTAATATTTCGATTCCTCAATTTTTCGAATTTTGTTCAATGTTTCTATTTTTCTCTTTGCCACGTTCTCGATTTTTCAATTTCTTAGTTCCTCGATTTTCAATTTTTTTAAATTTCAATGTTGGGATTTCTCAATTTTTCGATTCTTGAAATTTTCGAATTCTCGATTTCTTCATTTTTCGATTTGTCAATCTTCCGATGTTTCAGTTTCGCGATTCTTCAATTTTTCGCATTTTCGAAATTTCAGTTTTGAGATTTGTCAATTTTTTATCTTTCAGTTTTTCGATCGAATTTTCAATTTCTCGATTTTCAACTTTTCAACTCTTCAATTTTTCAATTTTTAGTTTCTCGATTTTTCAATTTTTCAGTTTTTGACGTTTCTAAGTTATCAATTTTTCGATTTCCCAATTTCTCTATTAACCGATTTCTCGACTTTTCAATGTTTCGATTTCTTAATTCAACTCTTTAAATTTTCGATTTTTCAATTTTTCGATTTTCAAGTACATATTTGATTTCTCAATTTTTCAAATTCGATTTTTTGACTTTTCATTTTTTTGATTTCTCAATTTTTCGATGTTTTGGTTTTGGAATTTTTCAATTTTTCGATTTCTCAATTTTTCGCCTTTTTGAAATTTCAGTTTTTAAATTTCTCGGTTTTTTATTCTTCAATTGTTTGATCGATTTTTCAATTTTTCAAATCTTCAATTTTTCAATTTTTACTTTTTCGATTTTTCAATTTTTCAATTTTTGACGTTTCTAAGTTTTTAATTTTTCTATTTCACAATTTATCTATTAACCGATTTTTTAATTTTCCCATTTCTCGATTTCTCGACTTTTTAATGTTTCGATTTCTTAATTCAACTCTTTAAATTTTCGATTTTTCAATTTTTCGATTTTCAAGTAGGTATGTATTTGATTTCTCAATTTTTCAAATTCGATTTTTTGATTTTATATTTTTTTGATTTCTCAATTTTTCGATGTTTTATTTTTGGAATTTTTCAATTTTTCGATTTCGCAATTTTTGGCCTTTTCGAAATTTCAGTTTTTAGATTTCTCAGTTTTTTATTCTTCAATTGTTTGATCGATTTTTCAATTTTTCAAATCATCAATTTTTTAATTTTTAGTTTTTCGATTTTTCAATTTTTCAATTTTTGACGTTTCTAAGTTTTCAATTTTTCGAGTTCACAATTTATCTATTAAGCGATTTTTTTATTTTCCCATTTCTCGATTTCTCGACTTTTCAGTGTTTCGATTTCTTAGTTTAACTGTTTAAATTTTCGATTTTTCGATTTTCAAGTAGGTATTTGTTTTCTCAATTTTTCAAATTCGATTTTTTTAATTTTTTGATTTCTCGATTTTTCGATGTTTTGGTTTTGGAATTTTTCAATTTTTCGATTCCTCAATTTCTAACCAATTTTTTTATTTTCCCATTTCTCGATTTCCCGACTTTTCAGTGTTTCATTTCTCAACTTTTCAATGTTTCGATTTCTTAGTTCAACTCTTTAAATTTTCGATTTTCAAGTACTTATTTGATTTCTTAACTTTTCGACCTTTAATTTTTTTGATTTCTCAATTTTTCTATGTCCTTTCATTTATTTGATTTCTCAATTTTTCCATGTTTTAGTTTTGGGATTTTTCAATTCTCCGCATTTTCAAAAATTCAGTTTTGAGATTTCACAGTTTTTTTGTTCTTCAATTTTTCGATCGATTTTCAATTTCTCAATTTTCCAATTTTCCGATTTTCAATTTTTTGGTTACTCAATTTTCCAATATTTCAATGTTGGGATTTCTCAGTTTTCCGATTCTTGCAATTTTCAAATTCCCGATTTTTTCATTTCTCGATTCAGTTTCACGTTTCTTTAATTTTTCAACTCTTCGATTTTTCAATTTTTAATTTTTCGATTTTTTAATTTTTGACGTTTCTAAGTTTTCAATTTTTCGATTTCTCGATTTCTCTATTAAGCGATTTTTTTATTTTCCCAATTCTCAATTTCTCTACTTTTCAGTGTTCCGATTTTTTAGTTTTTCAACTCTTCAAATTTTCGATTTTTCATTTTTCGATTTTCAAATTTTTTGATCTCTCAATTTTTCAACTTCGATTTTTCGACTTTTCATTTTTTTAATTTCTCAGTTTATCGATGTTTTAGTTTTGATTTTTCTTCCATTTTTCAACATTTCGATTCTTCATTTCTTCGATTTTTTGACTTTTTAATTTTTAAATTTTAGATTATTTAATTTTTGGATATTTCACTTTTCGACTTTTAAAATTTTAGATTTTTCGATGTCTCAATTTCTTGGTTTCTCCATTTCTCGATTTCTTGATTTCTTGATTTCTCTATTTTGTTCTTTTTTAAATTTTACAGTTTTAGATTTTCCAAATTTTCGGTTTTACTATTTTTTGAGTTTCGATTTCTTGACATCTCGGTCATTCGATTTTAAAAAATTTTTGATTTTTTGATTTTCCAAGTTTTCGATTTCTCAATTTTTCAACAATTCAATTTTGGGAGCTTTTCAGTTTTTGGATATTTTAATTTTTTTGATGTTTGTATTGCTCGATTTTTCGGTTTTTTCAATTTTTCAACATTTTTTTTCCTTATTAGATGATTCAAAAATGGCCCACTAATTCAGCGGTACGTTATTAAGCTCCCAAGTCTAAGTTAGAGAAAAATTAAAAAAATCGTTAAGTCAAATATATATTTTGAATGAAGAATTTTGATTTTTTTTTTTGCTCAAAAAACAGTGTTTAACAACGTGTCATAAATTTAGTCACAATTTTTTAATCATCCTGTATATACCGTTTTTCCCTAAAAATGCAAATATCTTGAAAACGTTTGTGTTTTGAGACAACATAAATAGGACACTCTATACATTTTTACATATTCTCTAATTCTAATTTAATCACCTTGAAATTTTTTAATAATGCAAAGATAAAAAAAAATCGCTGTAGGTTAATTGTAAATTCTATGTTACACAATATTTCGTACCGAGATAAACAAAGATAAACAAAAATAGATGCTTTGTTGTGGTGTAAATTAAATTAAGTTTGAATAGACAGTGTTTATAAAAAAAATCTAAAATAATACAGTTTTCTAATATCGATATTTTAAACAATTTTAAATACCTAGTCGGTGCGACGTGCTTTTTCCAGTGCCTGTGCCAAATATTGAGGACTTATTTTTTGCAATCTACAATAAACAATAAAACAAATAAAGATAATTATTTTAAAAAGGTCAAATCCTTAAATGGAAAAATGGAGTAGAACACAAAAATTAAATCGACCTCACTTATCTGTTATGTCAACAACGTATGCATTTTAAACGCAAAATTTATAAAGTCGCTAAATAATGAATATCAAACCCACAAACAAGTTTGACGTATTATCAGTGAACAAACTTATTAAATTCTCTTTTCAGTTGTTATTAAAAGTTTGTGAAAGATTCCATCATGCAGATAGTGCTGATAATAATAATAATAATACTTGCATTACTGTGCTACCTGTATTACCGGCATCGTTTCTTCACCTACTGGAAGAAAAAAGGTGTACCAACCTACCCGCCCAAATTTCCGGCTGGCAACATCACCGACATACTACTGGGTAAAGAACACGTCTACACCTGCATTGCCAACTTTTACACAAAACTCAAAAACGAAGGCCACAAACATGCAGGTTTATACTTCTTCAATGGCCCCGTCTACTTACCAATAGATCGCGAAATAATCAAGTCGATTTTGACAACGGACTTTGAGTATTTCACCGACAGAGGAGTGTTCCTCGACGAAGACAATTTCCCTCTAAGTGGACACTTATTTGCCTTGAGAGGCTCCAAATGGAAGACCCTTAGACAAAAACTAACCCCAACCTTTTCATCCGGAAAACTCAAAGCCATGTACGACGTTTTTCTAAAAATTATAGAAAATTTCGTCAACACTGTTGAAACAAATGCTCAAAAAGAAGGCGAAATTAATATCAAACACACGGCTATGAATTTTTCCACTGACATCATTCTTGCCACTGCGTTTGGACTGAATAGTAACACTCTGAAGGAACCTGACAACGAGTTAGCAAAGTCAGTACTGACGTTTTTTAAGCCTTCCAACTGGATTTTTCTGAAGGCTGTAACAAAAGAAGGTTTTTCAAATCCGGGGAATTTGTTAAGAGTTATAATGAGCAATAAACCACACGAAACTTTCTTTATGAAGCTTGTCAAAGACGCGATTGACTACAGGGACAAGAATAACATAGTACGGAACGATTTTCTCTCTCTGCTTCTGGAAGTTCGGGACAAAGAAGGACTTTCCTTTAACGAAATCGCCGCCCAATGTTTCGTTATTCTGTTTGCGGGTTTTGAAACTTCTGCTCAGTCGATCAGTTATTGTATTCACCATCTTGCACACAGTCAAGACTGTCAAGAAAAACTAAGAAAGGAAATTTTCGATAATTTGGGCCAAGATTTTACACAGTTTACTTACGCAGGAATCAAGGCTTTACCTTATCTAGATAGGGCATTTCAAAGGTACCCTCTAACTGTATCAACAAGAAATAACATTACTGTTATTGTTTCAGAAACTTTAAGGATGTACCCTACGTTGGGGTACCTCAACCGAATTTGTGTCAAGCCATACAAAGTTCCTGGTACTGACGTGGTTCTAGATGCAGGAACTCCAGTTTTAATTTCACATTTAGGTATCCAAAGAGACCCTGAGTACTTTCCTGAACCTCTGAAGTTTGATCCAGATAGGTTTAAGGACGAAGATCAAATTTTGCCTTTCTCGTTCTTGCCTTTTGGTGAAGGTCCCAGATTCTGTATTGGTACGTTTTAAGGTGTAAGAGTAAAAGAGGTTGGTTTTAACCCATCAAGTAAACTTTCAGCTTCAAGATATGGAACAATTCAAACTAAGCTAGCCATAGCAGCTCTTGTTTCCCAGTTTCGTTTCTATCCAAGTCCAAAAACACCCGAAACCATTGAATTTGATAAGTTTTCTAAATCGCCCTCGATGGCGCCGGCGAAAGGGATCGTAGTGAAAGTTGCTTCGCTTGGTAAACAAAAATTTTAAATTTAGTGATTGGGTGATAATGGTTAAAAAATGAGTCACCTATTTAACGATCAACTTGGAACTAAGAAAATAAATATTTCTTTTATATTTATCTCTACTTTTATTTTTCTTCTTCCATACGTTTCTTTATGTCATATTTTTATTTTTAATATTCTCTGAAACTTATTTTTTTTATTCTCTTGTGTATATAGGGTGAGTCACTAAGTGCGCGGTCCTCAGAATTTCATGGTCTAAAGTTATTTTTAACTATACAGAGTGCTCTTTTTTAAGGCATAACACACAACTGAGTGTTTTTATTAAATATTTATAACTACAGTTTATTTTTGAAATACCAATGGGACCTTGCCATGTGATTCACAAAAAAAATCGCAATTAAGTTACTTTTAAAATCTGCCTTATAATATTTTTGTTGCAGTATCAATTAATTTTGATTTTAATATACTGAGTGTTTATAAACAGTCTAAACTTTATAATTTTCAAAAAAACACACTGTGTAAAAACTTTAATTTCATTTATAAGTACCATAACAAAGTGCATATCTTCATTTATCCTTCCACAAAATATTGTAGCACAGTTTCTAAAAATAATCCCACTGCGATTTTTTTTTCTTTCTATTCCTAAAAAATTGGTCGAAGAACTTACTAAGATAAGACTTGTTTGTATTTTTTTAGAATGTATCATTTGCCAAAATGAATCTTATCTTGGTAAGTACTAGCCCCGCCCACCCGCCCTCTATTTTCTTATAGGTTATATCATTGGAAAAAGTCAGTCTTACCTTAGTAAATACTAACTCCACCCAAACGCCTCAAAAAAAAGGACAAGTGAGCAGGGTTAGTACTTGCTAAGATACAATTGATTTTGGCAAATGAAACGCCCTCTGAAAAAATAGAGGTCGGGTGGGCGGGGCTAGTACTTACTAAGATAAGACTTATTTAGGCAAATGGTACACTTTTCTATTTATTAGAACGTATCATTTGCCAAAATGAACCTTATCTTACTAAGTACAAGCCCCCCCCACCCGCCCTCTAGTTTCTTATAGGTTATATCATTTGAAAAAGTCAGTCTTATCTTAGTAAATACTAACTCCATTCACCCACCCTCAGAAAAAAAGGACAGGTGTGCAGGGTTAGTATTTGCTAAGACAAGATTGATTTTGACAAATGAAACGCCCTCTAAAAAAATAGAGTGCGGGTGGGCGGGGCTAGTAATTACTAAGATGAGACTGACTTTTTCAAATAATATATCCTCCAAGAAAATAGAGGGCGGGTGGGCGGGGCTAGTACTAACTAAGATAAGACTTATTTAGGCAAATGATAAATTTTTTTTTTTTTAGAACGTATCATTTGCCAAAATGAATCTTATCTTAGTAAGTACAAGCCCCGCCCACCCGCCCTCTAGTTTCTTATAGGTTATATGATTTGAAAAAGTCAGTCTTACCTTAGTAAATACCAGCTCCACTCACCCCCTCTCAAAAAAAAGAACAGGTGAGCAGGGTTAGTACTTGCTAAGTTACGATTGATTTTGGCAAATGAAACGCCCTCTGAAAAAATAGAGGGCGGGTGGGCGGGGCTAGTATTTACTAAAATGAGACTGACCTTTTCAAATAATATATCCTCCAAGAAAATAGAGGGCGGGTGGTGGGGGCTAGTACTTACTAAGATAAGACTTATTTAGGCAAATGATAAATTTTTCTATTTTTTTAGAACGTATCATTTGCCAAAATGAATCTTATCTTAGTAAGTGCTAGCCCCGCCCACCCGCCCTCTAGTTTCTTATAGGTTATATGATTTGAAAAAGTCAGTCTTATCTTAGTAAATACCAGCTCCACTCACCCCCTCTCAAAAAAAAGGACAGGTGAGCAGGGTTAGTACTTGCTAAGTTACGATTGATTTTGGCAAATGAAACGCCCTCTGAAAAAATAGAGGGTGGGTGGGCGGGGCTAGTATTTACTAAGATGAGACTGACTTTTTCACATAATATATCCTCCAAAAAAATAGAGGGCGGGTGGGCGGGGCTAGTACTTACTAAGATAAGACGTATTTAGGCAAATGATACACTTTTCTATTTTTTCAGAATGTATCATTTGCCAAAATAAATCTTATCTTGGTAAGTACTAGCCCCGCCCACCCGCCCTCTAGTTTCTTATAGGTTATATGATTTGAAAAAGTCAGTCTTATCTTAGTAAATACTAACTCCACTCACCCGCCCTCAAAAAAAAGGACAGTTGAGCAGGTTTAATACTTGCTAAGACAAGATTGATTTTGACAAATGAAACACCCTCTGAAAAATAGAAGGCGGATGGGCGGGGCTAGTAATTACTAAGATGAGACTGATTTTTTCAAATAATATATCCTCAAAGAAAATAAACGGCGGGTGGGCAGGGCTACTACTCACTAAGATAAGACTTATTTAGGCAAATGATACACTTTTCTATTTTTTCGAACGTATCATTTGCCAAAATGAATCTTATCTTAGTAAGTACAAGCCCCGCCCACCCCCCTCTAGTTTCTTATAAGTTATATGATTTGAAAAAGTCAGTCTTATCTTAGTAAATACTAACTCCACTCACCCGCCCTCAAAAAAAAAGGACAGTTGAGCAGGTTTAATACTTGCTAAGACAAGATTGATTTTGACAAATGAAACGCCCTCTGAAAAAATAGAGTGCGGGTGGGCGGGGCTAGTAATTACTAAGATGAGACTGACTTTTCAAATAATATATCCTCCAAGAAAATAGAGGGCGGATGGGCGGGGCTAGTACTTTCTAAGATAAGACTTATTTTGGCAAATGATACACCTTTCTATTTTTCTACAATGTATCATTTGCCAAAATACATCTTATCTTAGTAAGTACTAGCCCCGCCCACCAGCTCTCTATTTTCGTATAGTTTATATCATTTGAAAAAGTCAGTCTTATCTTAGTAGATACTAACTCCACTCACCCACCCTCAAAAAAAAGAACAGGTGAGCAGGGGTAGTACTGGCTAAGATATGATTATTTTGGCAAATGAAACGGCCTCTGAAAAAATAGAGGGCGGGTGGGCGGGGCTAGTATTTACTAAGATGAGACTGACTTTTTCAAATAATATATCCTCCAAGAAAATAGAGGACGGGTGGGCGGGGCTAGTACTTACTAAGATAGGAATTATTTAGGCAAACGATACATTTTTCTATTTTTTTTAGAACGTATCATTTGCCAAAATGAACCTTATCTTAGTAAGTACAAGCCCCGCCCACCCGGCTTCTAGTTTCTTATAAGTTATATGATTTGAAAAAGTCAGTCTTATCTTAGTAAATACTAACTCCACTCACCCACCCTCAAAAAAAAAGGACAAGTGAGCAGGGTTAGTACTTGCTAAGATACGATTGACTTTGGCAAATGAAACGCCCTTTGAATAAAATAGAGGGCGGGTGGGTGGGGCTAGTATTTACTAAGATGAAACTGACATTTTCAAATAATATATCCTCCAAGAAAATAGAGGACGGATGGGCGTGGTTAGTACTTACTAAGATAAGACTTATTTAGACTAATGATACACTTTTCTATTTTTTTACAACGTATCATTTGCCAAAATGAATCTTATCTTAGTAAGTACTAGCCCCGCCCACCCGCCCTCTATTTTCTTAGAGGTTATATCATTTGAAAAAGTCAGTCTTATCTTAGTAGATACTAACTCCACCCACCCGCCCTCAAAAAAAAGGACAGGTGAGCAGGGTTAGTACTTGCTAAGATACGATTGATTTTGGCAAATGAAACGCCCTCTGAAAAAATAGAGGGTGGGTGGGTGGGGCTAGTATTTACTAAGATGAGACTGACTTTTTCACATAATATATCCTCCAAAAAAATAGAGGGCGGGTGGGCGGGGCTACTACTTACTAAGATAAGACGTATTTAGGCAAATGATACACTTTTCTATTTTTTCAGAATGTATCATTTGCCAAAATAAATCTTATCTTGGTAAGTACTAGCCCCGCCCATCCGCCCTCTAGTTTCTTATAGGTTATATGATTTGAAAAAGTCAGTCTTATCTTAGTATATACTAACTCCACTCACCCGCCCTCAAAAAAAAGGACAATTGAGCAGGTTTAATACTTGCTAAGACAAGATTGATTTTGACAAATGAAACACCCTCTGAAAAATAGAAGGCGGATGGGCGGGGCTAGTATTTACTAAGATGAGACTGATTTTTTCAAATAATATATCCTCAAAGAAAATAGACGGCGGGTGGGCAGGGCTACTACTCACTAAGATAAGACTTATTTAGGCAAATGATACACTTTTCTATTTTTTAGAACGTATCATTTGCCAAAATTAATCTTATCTTAGTAAGTGCAAGCCCCGCCCACCCCCCTCTAGTTTCTTATAGGTTATATGATTTGAAAAAGTCAGTCTTATCTTAGTAAATACTAACTCCACTCACCCGCCCTCAAAAAAAAGGACAGTTGAGCAGGTTTAATACTTGCTAAGACAAGATTGATTTTGACAAATGAAACGCCCTCTGAAAAAATAGAGTGCGGGTGGGCGGGGCTAGTAATTACTAAGATGAGACTGACTTTTTCAAATAATATATCCTCCAAGAAAATAGAGGGCGGGTGGGGGGGGGCTAGTACTTACTAAGATAAGACTTATTTAGAAAAATGATACACTTTTCTATTTTTTTACAATGTATCATTTGCCAAAATGCATCTTATCTTAAGTAAGTATTAGCCCCGCCCACCAGCCCTCGATTTTCGTATAGGTTATATTATTTGAAAAAGTCAGTCTTATCTTAGTAAATACTAACTCCACCCAAACGCCTTAAAAAAAATGGACAGGTGAGCAGGGTTAATACTTGCTAAGACAAGATTGATTTTGATAAATGGAACGCCCTCTGAAAAAATAAAGGGTGGGTGGGCGGGACTAGTATTTACTAAGATGAGACTGACTTTTTCACATAATATATCCTCCAAGAAAATAGAGGGCGGGTGGGCGGGGCTAGTACTTACTAAGATAGGAATTATTTAGGCAAACGATACATTTTTCTATTTTTTTAGAACGTATCATTTGCCAAAATGAATCTTATCTTAGTAAGTACTAACCCCGCCCACCCGCCCTCTAGTTTCTTATAGGTTATATCATTTGAAAAAGTCAGTCTTACTTTAGTAAATACTAACTCCACCCACCCGCCCTTAAAAAAAAGGCAGGTGAGCAGGGTTAGTACTTGCTAAAATACGTTTGATTTTGGCAAATGAAACGCTCTCTGAAAAAATAGAGGGCGGGTGGGCGGGGCTAGTATTTACTAAGATAAGATTGACTTTTTCAAATAATATATCCTCCAAGAAAATAGAAGACGGGTGCGCGGGGCTAGTACTTACTAATACACGATTCATTTTTAAATGATACGTTCTAAAAAAATAGAAAGATGTATCATTTGCCAAAATAAGTCTTATCTTAGTAAGTACTAGCCCCGCCCACCTGCCCTCTATTTTCTTGGAGGATATATCATTTGAAAAAGTCAGTCTCATCTTGCAGAACTTCCCTCGCCCTTGAAATACAATAAAACAAAGCCAGCTTTTTCGAAAAATTATAGAATGTCATTATGCGATTTTTTTTATGAGAAGCTTTATAAATTAAAATAAATATATGTATGTAACTTTAAAGTAAATGTAAAGAATCTTGCTAGGCGTACATCATTTTGGATAGGTGCAGTGTTATACTAATAACAGTATTGTATACTCAAATTCTTCTTCTTCCCGATTTAATCAATAAAATAAATTGACTCATACATTAATTTTTATGAGTCTCCCTGTATAAAAAATTTAAAAACTTTTAATTCAATGATAAATCACAAGTGACAACAATCGGACCAGTAGTTTTGGAGATTACTTGTCTAATAAAAATGGATACAAAAACCAGACAGACAGACAGACGGAAACGGGAGAGCACTTTTTTCGTACTCTAGAGGTCATGACAAGTCAAGAAAATATGAAAGTGGCAATTCGGCCGATGGGCTCTATTACAATATTTCCTTAGCTTACGCTCAAGAAGTAAAAAATTCAAGAAAATTGGAATAGCGTGATAACGTCGCATCGGAATTTCAAAAATAAACTGTGGTTGTAAAACTTGAAAAGAGGTCAATCAAAATATGTGAAAATATATAGGGTGTTTCATTAAAAAAAACTAAGTTGTGTGTTACGTTTAAAACAGAACACTCTGTATAGTTGAATATGATTTTAAAGTATAGTGCTCAAAGAACCGCACAACTTTGGTCTGTGATTTTTCCTGTATTTATAATAATTAATGAGTTATCCAGAAACATGTGCTTAATGATTTACCCTGTATAAGGTCAGATCTTCTGCGATTTTTGTAATGACGATTTATTTTCACAACTCATAGCAAGTACTAGCCCCGCCCACCCACCCTTTAATTTCTTACAGGGTATGTCATTTACCAAAATCAGTCCAATCTTAGCAAGTACTGACCTGACTTGACCTGAAAAAAACTGAAAATTCGGAAAATTTTAAACCGAAAAAATTTAAAAACCTGTATAAATCAAAATTAAAGAAACAAAAATTTTAAAATCGGAACATTGAAAAATCTAATAATTGAAAAAATTAAGAAAATAAAAAACCTGAACGAAAAATTGAAAACTCGAGAAACTCAATAAAAAATATTCAAAATCTAAAAATTGAAAATTTTCACACTGAAAAAAAATTAAAGAATGGAAAAATTGAAAAATTAAAAATTGAAACCTGGTTAAACTGCAAGTCGAAAAATCCCAAGCTGTAGCCCCGCCCACCCACCCCCTCTTCATTCCAGCGACTACTCTTAATATTGTTGCGTCTTACCTTAGCAAGTTTAATCCCGGCCCATCCACCCTTTATTTTCTTAGGGGGTATGTCATTTGCTACAATCAGTCTTATTTTAGCAAGTTTTAGCCCCGCCGACCCACCCTTTATTTTCTTAGGGTATGAAATTTACCTAAATCAGTTCTACCTTACCAGGTACTACCTCCGCTCACCTATTCTCATTCTAACGATTTTATTTCTATTGAGTATAAGATCCACCTTTCATTCTGACCAGAAAAAAAGTAATCACTGAAATAGAGGCGGGGTGGGTGGGCGGGGTTAATTTTCTGTTCTTTTGTAGAATGGGAATGGAAACTAATAGAACGTAGGATCCTAAAAAAAGACAAAAAATTACTAATTGTAATAATGTAAATTTTCGCATAAAACACGTGACGGAATTTCACTTATTCAAGTTCAACTTGTTCTAGTAACATGCTGAAAGTTCTAAATGTTTTTACTTAAGTTATTTCATTATCCACACTTCACAACTGCTCACTCGAGATTTATAATATATACATTATTGGTTCATTTCATTTAAACCAATCGTAAACATTAATCCATTTTGAGACAAATGACCTTGAAAATTATCATCAGTTAAATTAATATCACCATTGAGAGCTTCAGTATTTTTGCCTTTCGACCTGGTAGTCCACGAGAAGATGAGTATATGTTGTAGCACGTGCATCTCATAATACAACTAACCGAAAACTGAGGAGAGCTCGATCACCTTGATCAGAGCCATCGATCCCATGGTCTATGATTTGGACTCCAGATACAGTTCTTAGATTTTGTTCGAAATTAAATTTGCCGGCACACCATAGTAATAACAGCAAATCCTTCAAAATATGTTTGAGAATAAACTTAGAAGGGTTTAGATTGTATTTACAGCAAGCGGGACGCTTTCACCTTTCACTATTTCTACAAGCGGCAAAATTCTTTGACATAAAACAATCTTCTTTTAACGACTGCTCGATATATGAATCATTTTATACAGTTTTATCTATGATTTTACTCTATCTGCCTGTTTTTTACGGTTTTTAGATTTTTGGTTCAGCTGTTTACAACTGATTAACGTATTTTTATATTTCTCGTAAGATGAATGAATTAAATGGCCTCAAATGTCACATTCTCGCAAAATACTTTGATCTAATCTATCTGAGGTCATTTGTTTCTGATTACTTAACCATTATAAAGAAAAACGATGACCTCATTTTTAATTACGACTATTGCATGCTATGTGCGTCTATCAAGTATTTGGTTAAAAAAACTTTAGTGAAAATCTACACTGAATTTTTTGTAAAAACATAAGTCCGGGACACATAGTTTTATTTATGTACATTCACAATGCCAATATTTAAAAATAAGCCTCAGACTTTTGTTGTTTGTGCATAATTAAGATTATAACTACAAAAATACATGCTTCTTAATCAATATGTGTAAACGTTTACTTAACAAACGACAAACTATTCATTACCAAATATTAACAATAACACGAAACTTGTGCCGGTTGAGCAGTACCACTGTAAACAGCTATTATCCAATTTTTGTTACAATTTGCACGCAACTTTTATTAACAGATCACGAAAAACAACTAAACTTACACCATGGTATAATTTATACCTACTCATAATTTCTGCGAGATTTTTATCCCACAACCTTAAACCTTAACTACTTTGGTATGAACACCACCCAGAATATTAAACACAATAGTCGTAGTACTCGGATCAACAGCCAGATGTCTCGGAGACTTCGGACTCGGCAAGAACTTGAAGTCGTTCAAAAGCGTAGCAAGCCCGAGCTTCGTCTGCATTAGACCAAACCTCAAACCTTAACAAACATATAAATAAGAAAAATCTAAATTTGTATAGTACACTTACCAATACAGTTCCTGGGACCCTCACCAAATGGTAGATACGTGTAAGGTACGACATTATTGTCAGAGCTGAAACGGTCTGGATCGAACTCCAAAGGGTCCGGAAAGTACTCAGGGTCTCGGTGCAGACCGAGTACTGACACAAGAACAGGGGTACCTTCCTCAATGATAACATCAGTTCCGGGAACTTGATACTTCTTGATGCAAATTCGGTTAAGCATGGCCACTGGAGGGTACTTCCGCAAAGTTTCTAAAAACGAATTCATGACAGAAATAAATTGTAATAAGTTGCAAAATAGTACCTTTGATACATTTGTCTAAGTACGGTAAGCCCAAAACATCTTCATATGCGTAGGTAGAAGACTCCCTCCCCAGTTTTTCATGAATTTCTTTCCTAAGCTTGTCTTGTATGTCCTGGTTGTGGGCTAACTCGTGTATGCAGTTACTCATGGTAGAAGACGATGTTTCAAACCCAGCGGTGAAAAATAGGAAAGACTGAGAAACTATCTCCGGAAGCTGCATACCACTAGACCGCAGTTGCATCAACATGTTCAAAAAATCGTCTCTAACGACGTTATTTTGGTCTCGATATTCTACAGTTTTTTTCACCAGATCGTTAAAGTACGTCTGTACTGTTTTATTGTCGTGGGCGATCTTTATAATGTTCCCGGGGTTCTGTAACCCTTCCTGGAACGCCATCTTGAGCAATTTCCACGGAGGACTGTTGAAAATCATCGCCACCATTCGGGCAAACTCTGTCTCGGGGTACGTCAAACTATTAACATCAACTCCAAAGGCTGTGGACCCAATAATATCAGTTGTGTACCTCAACAGGAGTTCTTTCATATCCACTTCCATTTTCTGCGCTCCAAATGGTTCAAGTATGTCCACCAGATTCTTCGAAATCTTCACCAAAATGTTGTACATACTCTTCATCTTCCCGGAAGTGAAAGTAGGTGTGAACTTGATTCTAACATTTCTCCACTGCTCACCCTTCATGGAAAAAATGTGCACACTTAAAGGCAATTTCTCCTCGTTTATGTACATCCCTCTATCGACGAAGTGGTCGAAATCTGACACCAAGAGTCTCTTCACCAAGTCGGGATCCACCGGAAAGTAAATCGGGCCGTTGGTGAAATAAATCCCCCCGAATTTGTGTCCGGCGTCCTTGAACTTGTGGTAGAGGTGCTGCAAGCGCAGGTACACGCTCTCTTTGCCCCATGCCGCGCTTGCTAGGTCTCCCACGGGAAAAGATGGGTTGAGTTGCGGGACTCCTCTTTTTTTCCAGTATGAGAAGCAGTGTCGGTAGTAGAGATAAAGCGCGGCTATTAGGGTGATAACGAAAACGGAAAGAAGTTCCACTGCTACGAGTAGTACCATGTTGACGCCGCTTTTACCGGATTTAGACTGGGAACTATTGGGTGTCGGAGCGATAGCTAATTGTTCGAATCATGATGACGGTGGAGGCTAATTTGAACTAAAGCGAGCCAAGGGCAACATGTGATTGACACAGTCGTGAAACATGTGCAGTTTTCTTTTTCCTTTCATCTTATAGCGATTTATTCTAGTTAGTTTAATTACGTAACGAAAGATATACAGATTTTTTTCATTACTTAATGCACACTTTATGATATAAGTAAACAGTCTGACAACCTAGATTAGGAGTAAAGATGTTACTAATTATAGTAAATGATGTTTGTAAGAGATTAACACATTTTTGATAACAATTATCAAAATTAATAGGAATTTTAAAACAAGAACAGACCTCCTGTAAGTTGACCTTAAAATTAATTATAACGCAGTAAATATATTAAATTGCGGTTTTATACAGGATATCTAATAAAATTATCACACAAAGCTTGAAAAAAAAACATGTTTAGAAACTGATTTAGGCTCTTATATCAAAATTTTATCTCGAATGTTCCAAGAGTTTGTTCAGAAACATGAAAACGTACCAAGAAAAACAATGGACTAAATTTTATCTTTTTTTGCTTTTATCAAAAGCAAACTTTTTTTTATTTATGCAAATGACCCTTTTTCGATTAATAATAATCAATTTATCTGGCAACAGAGTTTCAAGCGTTCTTCTACAGGAATTTTCAAAGTACATTTCATTTTTGTAAATTTTCCTGTTACTGTATCGAGGAAGGAATAACTTTTACAAAAGTAAATGTAGTTTCTATTAAAAACTGATCTAAAGTTGTTTAGAGGAACTTCCCTCGTCCCTGAAGCACAGTCTCTTCTGTATACAGATTAAAACGTGCTCTTCAGTAAGTATATATTTATGAATTTTGCTCATTTTCTTGATACTGGTATTTCAGCCAATAGCACGGTATTAGTTTTTCTATATTTAAACAGCCACACGCTCCTTTCTCGATATTTGGCGATCGAGGTTGTTCTAGAATGAGTCGCCTCACAAACCAGAAAATCCATAGAAGTCGTACCGGGGCGACATATAGGTTTATTTCGTAACAATATTGTCGCATGTGCGCCTCCTATCCAGATCTTCCTTTTGAGGCTGCTTGGTTTTTTCGTGCCTAAACATTATTTTGAAGAGTGAGTTAATACTTTAATCAGATTTCGTAGTTGTTTCCTGATGTGCTGCACACATTTTAAGTCTTTATCTAACCAGACTCCTAGATAGTTGGCATCCGGTTGATTTTCTAGCTTTCTCCAACGTACTGACACTCCACTTTTACTAATTCCCTTCGCCCAGCCAACATTGTCACTTCCGCCTTCCCAGCGACTAATACTAATTCTTGTCCCTAAATCCAGGACCCCACATTCTCACAGGTACCTTCACGGTTTGCATGAGTTCTTTTTTGTTTTTAGCTGTTACTACAAGAACCAAATCATTGGCTGAACCAATAAATTAAGAACCACTCGGTAATCCTAAAACACGACCTGATCTTACCTGTCCTGACCTAACCGACCGAACCTGACCTGACCTGACCCAACGTGACCTAACCTGAGCTGATCTGACCTGACCTTTTTCTTGTCAATGGAAGGGTAAACCCTTATGGGCACCAGATGCTTAGGTTCGATCATTCCTGGTAGTGCCTGGACTCTTACCGGCTAAAACTTCTTCCTCGACTACCTGTTCTCCTACCCCCCGGAACCGCGTTAGCATTACTTCAAGGGGGTAGTTGGTCGTCGCCTTCTTCTTGGTCTATATTCATGTATCTAGTTTCTTTTTTTTATTCTTTGACCCTAACTTTTGCGATTTGTCTATTTTACAGTCGTTGCCTGTCTTCTTTTCTTCTTCGGTGTTTTACCTAACTTTTTCAATTAGCTTCATCTTCTTCCTTGTGTCTCTTAATTTTTTTTTTAATCTCTTTTTGTTCTAGTTAGTCTCTTCCGGTTTGTTTCATCTTATTTCTTGTCATCTTTTTTTTTTCTCTTTTCAACTTGTAATGTTTTATTAATTATTGCCTCTCTGTATTTTTTTTCTTTCTTTCACTCACATCTCACTTCCTCACATTTCGCTTTCATTATTGTAACTACCATCCTTTCAATTGCCGTCCATCCCTCTTCATTCTCTAACATCATCTCAATCATATTATCCACATTCACTCTTTTTCCCAGTTCCACTTCGCATTCTTCTCTCACTCTCCCCTATCTGTCACAATCAAAAATCGCATGCTCTACGTCTTCTTCCATTCCTCCCTCGCAATACCAGCAAGCTGAGCATTCAATTTTGCCTATCCTTTTCAGATAGGCCCCAAAACTCCCGTGACCAGTGAGCACTTGGGAGGTGTAGTGGTTAACCTCCCCGTGCCCCCTGCTGATCCATTCCGTGAGGTTCGGGATTAGCCGCCTTGTCCAGGCGGCCTTCTCCGTCTACCTCCTTTTACACCACGCTTGCATCAATTCCTCTCTCGCCTTCCCCTTACATGCTACTGAGGGAGCCGAACTCGACTCCCTCACCCTTTCATTCTTTCTCCTCTTTCATTCCCGAAGACGCACTTCCGCCAGCAGGTCCAACGGGGGAACTCCAGCCAGCACGCAGTGTCTCCCCGGACAACGTGCGGTACGCACAACATACTCGTAGAAGCATGTTTCTGTGGACACCCAGAAGCATCTGTCGATCTGCATGGACGACACTGCATAACACTCTTCTTTTGCTCGCCTTGGGTCCTCCTACACCCACAACCATCTTTGACTTCCGTACCGCCTGTTCCACTTGCTCGATCACCCTGAGGTTTCTTTGAAATTCCACCCCAAGGTAGCAACACCACTTCTACGCCCTCGCTTCGGACATTCACAGCTAATTGCTGAGGAAGTAGTCCTCTAACTATTTCTTTCTTTTTTTTTTTCGCTGCTCAGTTCTTGTATGGGTTTCTTCAGTGGTTTCTTGGCAACTATTTTGTGACCAATACCCCATACGTGGTAATCCACCTCTTCGCACAGTTTGCGCCACACCTTTTTTTGGAAGTCTTGACCGCCATCTGTAATTTTTTGTGTAATATTCCCGTACAAGTAGATATTTTCGCGCCAACTCTCTCGTTTTCCTTTGACACTGTTTCCTGTTCTGGCTAATTTCTTCTGCCCACCAGTACACTGGTCTCGTTTTGTATGTCCCTATTTTCCTTTTCAGTAACTATTTTAGCATTACATTCTTCTTGGATGTGGTTCCTTGTTTTTTTTCAAATTCCCCTAATCTCTTGAGCAACTCTCCATCTTTTCATTAAATTTACTATATGTAGGGGAAGAGAGCCCAAAGCGGGTACCATAAGGAAAAATATAAAAAAAAAATAGTTTATGGATAATCTAGATCCTTTAAACTTTTATATTATAATGCTTGATTTAACCCTTTTCAATGATGCATAACTAAAATTGAGGAAAGTGTATTAAAAAAAAAAGTTAGAAGCAGATGACTAAATCTTTACAACTGCCCGCTTTACCCTACGGGGAGGCCTAAAGCGGGCATTCAGCTAGGGCAAACCAGGCTGGTGCCTGGTTTGGTTTCGGTCTATACTAAATACATTGAAAACATTGTCGGGGTTTCCGGAATTGCATTTTAAAAATACTGAAGTCTGCAACCAAACCAAAAATAAGTTTTAGTAAGGTACTTGCTAAGATAAAACTGATCTTGGCAAATGACAACATCTAAGAAAATAAATGATAGAAGGTATATCATTTGGCAAAATCGGTCTTATCTTGACAAGTATTGGCGTCGAGGGTATGCCATCTGGCAATTTCGACTTTATCTTGGCAAGCACTAGCCCGCTCACCCGATCTTTATTTTCTTAGAGGACGGAGTTCGTACGTGCAAAATAAGATCGATTTTGGCAAATGACATACCCGCTACGAGAAAAGTGGGCGGGTGGGCGGGGTTAGTACCTGCTAAGATAAAACTGATTTTGGCAAATCGTAAACCCTCTAAGAAAAAAGAAGGTGGGTGGGCGGTTATAGTACCTGCTAAGATAAAAGTGATTTTGGCAAAAATAAAACATCAGGTGACCTAAAATTTCGAATATTTTAAACGTCGGATTTTGAAAAATGTGACAATTTTTGATAACGTTATAGTTGAGGTAATCAGTAAATATTTATTTTTCATAAAAAAACACCTTTCTTCTTATACCGGATGTTTGGAAAATAGCGGATTAAGTTAGTCGTCAGTATTTGCCAAGATAAAACTGATTTTGCCAAATGATAATACCACATTTTACATTTAATATTTTCGTATTCGAGGTTAATCACCTCTTCCGTTCTTTCTATTAATATGCCATTTTCCTCACATTTTTTTACTTCCATTCCTTTATTTCCAAAGCGATTCAGTTCTTAATTTAACTTTTTTCTAGTTTTATGAGCAAGCAGTAGCCCCACCCACCCACCCCTTCTTCATTCCAGTGACTACTCTTAATATTGCTCAGTTCTATCTTAGCAGATTTTAGCCCCGCCCACCCACTCTTTTTTTTCTTAGCAGGTATCTCATTTGCCAAAATCACTCTTATCTTAGCAGGAACTAGCCCCACCCACCAACCCTCTCTTTTCTTAAAGGGTATCTCATTTGCCAAAATCACTCTTATCTTAGCAGGTAGTAGCCCCGCCCACCCACCCTCTCTTTTCTTAAAGGATATCTCATTTGCCAAAATCACTTTTTATCTTAGCAGGTACTAGCCCCGCCCACCCACCCCCTTTTCTTAGAAGATATCTGATTTGCCAAAATCAGTTTTATCTTAGCAGGTACTAGCCAAGAGTGATTTTGACAAATGAAATATCCTCTAAGAAAAGAGAGTGTGGGTGGGTGGACGAGTTAGCAGCTGCCAAGATAAGACTGATTGTATCAAATGACATACCTTTTAAGAAAAGAGTGGGTGGGTGGGCGGGGCTACAAGGTGCCAAGATTAGTCTGACTGTGGCAAATGACATACTCTCTAAGAAAAGAGAGGGTGGATGGGCGGGGCTCGTACTTGCTAAGATAAGACTGATCTTGGCAAATGACATACTATCTAAGAAAATAAAGGGTAGAAGGTATATTATTTGGCAGAAGCAATCTTTTCTTCACAAGCATTGGCCCCGCCCACCCACCCTTTATTTTCTTAGAGGGTATGCCTTCTGGCAATA